CCTCCATCCATACATCCATACAGATGTGTGCCAATGAATAAAGATGTAAATCCTCCGCCCTCCGCCCTCTGCCTCTCCCTCTCTCTTTCACACTGAGTGCGTTGAAAATCTAATTACACACACACACACACACAGGCATGGAGCGATGGAGGTGTATTTTTTGATTTGCTGCTTGACGACACACTTAAAAATTCCAAGAATATTTCTCAAATATCTCTCAAGAGCTATCAGGCTCAGAGCCTTTAGTGCTGCCGCATATCCTGTGGCTCCTGTGGTCCGCCCTCTCTGTCTCTGTCTCTGTCTGTGTCTGTGTGTGTGTCTGTGTGTGTGCGTGCGTCAGGACATTTTAGTTTTGACTTTCGCTTTGATATTTAAATTGGAGTCATCAAGGAGTCATCTTCAGATGCTGCTGCCTCCGCTGCCGCTGCCGCCTCCGCTGCCGCTCCTTTGCTGCTGTCTGGCCCAAAAGTTTTCATGTATATTTTGAGTACTTAATCCTGCGGTGTGATGCCACTTCTAATGCTGCTTGAGCCCCATGAACTTTGGCCCACACCAGCCCCCTCCCCCCCAAGGACCAAGGGGGGGCGGGTCGGGGGTCGAGGGAGGGTGCCGGCATGATGACAGATAATCCTGAATAAGCATTCGCAAAAGCACTTATCATCGTTTTATTTAAAATTTATAATCGAAATCAATGTAATGAAGCATGGGGCACGGCACGGCACGTCAGGGCACGGCAACGAGAGAGTCAATAACTCAAATGACTTTCGGCTTCGCCAACTAATCCCCAACAGCGGCAGGAAACAGAGGCCCGACTGCCTCTTCGGCCTCAATCGCTGCCCCATTCAGGGCCTACAGCCAAGCTGCTGCCCTGCCCCAGCCCTGCTCCTTCCTTGCTCCAGCCCTGCCCCTGCTCCTTCCTTGCTCCAGCCCTGCCTTGCTCCTTCCCTGCTTCTGCCCCACTCCTGCCCCGCTCCTGCCCCGCTCCTGCCCTCCTCCTGCCCTCCAGCCCTGCCTCGATTTTCTGGCTATTGCGACAATATTTTATGCAAATCACACTGGCTTGGCTCTCTTGGCTCTGACTGCCGATAACGAGGATAACTCACTTGACATCCGACAATAACTTATTTACACTTCATTATGCCACGGCGATGGTGCAGGGGCGGCAGGACCAAGGGGGCACGCATACCAGCAGCCACTACAAATATGCCCAATGTCACTTTGTGTGACTTATAAATGTATTAAAAAGTACGAGCATAATTAGAGAGCACTTTTGCCCAATGACACTTGAAATGCAAGAGGCAGGGCACAGGGGGGGCAATCCCCCCTCCCCCCCCGCAACCGAAATGAAGCCGTTTGCCATTGAGCGAACAATCAGCGACTGTGTTGCAGTTATTTATGAGCTCGATAAATTTGTTTATGGGGGGTAAAGGATAACTGGGGACAGCAGAAGCAGGACTCAGGACTGAGGACAGCAGGATCTGTGGCAGGCTGGGGGGGGGGGGGGGGGGGGTGGCAAGTAGCGCCAGTCGAGCGTCAAATGAAGCCAGCAGGAGGCCGAAAGAGGCGGAAAGAGGCGGAAGGAGGCGGCAAGAGGCCGAAAGAGGCCAATTTTCAGAGAGATGGAGAAGAATGAGAAATTCACCGCGAAATTCCCAACTGAAATTGGAGGCAAAAAGTGAAAAAGTTAATAACATTAATTAGCATTTTTATGGCCAGCAGGCGGCACTTGAACACTTTTCCAGCAACAATGGGGGGGCCAGGGAGGGGGACCTGGGGGGCACCAGAAGGTCTCCTGCCTTTGGGGATCATCAAATCAAAACCATTTCCCGCGCAAGACCATGAAAATCGAATTTCCACACACCCCACCGCCCCCCAAACGAGAGATAAACAAATTTTATTGACCAAGTCATTCCGTATTGTTCGTACCATTCCAGCAGCTTGCCATTGAAGTCCCCCCCGCCCCAAGGAAAAAGAAGGAAGGAAGAGGAATACCGACACGAAATGTTGCCGCATCATCAGCGCCATAATATGGCGGCTTCGGCGGCTTCGGCGGCAGCTACGGTGGCAGTGATGCTGCTGTTGGGCTGCTGCCTGATGGCGCCGCCCACCGAGGCCCGTTCGAGCGACAAGGAGGGGCGCCGCAATCGCAGCCGACAACAGGGATCCGTGGCAGCCTCGGCCAGCACCAATGGCGCCTACTATGGCGCCTCCTCCTCCTCATCGTCCTCCCTGACTGCCGCCAGCACTGGCTCTGGCACTGGCTCTGGCTCTGGCTCTGGCACCGGCTCTGGCTCTGGCTATGTGTTCAGCAGCAGCGCCTCAATGGGCGGCGGTGGCAGCACTGGCTACAACGGACCCATGGACTCCACCGGCTTCTGCACCCGCAGGCGCGACATGAAGCTGATGTGCTACTGCACGCCCGACGAGAACCACGTGCCCGTGCAGAAGGCCGAGTGCTGGGTGTTCTCCGAGGGGCTGCACCAGAACGACACCACCTGGACGCGATTCTACCAGCAGAAGCGGCTGCGCGAACTGAAGTTCGTGATCCAGAACAACGCCCGACTCGACTACATACCGACGATGATCATTGAGCCGCTGAAGAACCTGAGCAGCATCGTCATCGAGTACTCGCAGGTGGAGATCGTCAAGAGCTATGCGTTCGCCAATCTGCCCTTCCTCGAGCGGATCATACTGAACAACAACCACATCATGGCCCTCGACCAGGACGCCTTCGCCAATCACATCCGTCTGCGTGAGCTCAATCTCGAGCACAATCAGATCTTCGAGATGGATCGCTACGCCTTCCGCAATCTGCCGCTCTGCGAGCGTCTCTTCCTCAACAACAACAACATCAGCACCCTGCACGAGGGCCTCTTCGCGGACATGGCCCGTCTCACCTACCTGAATTTGGCCCACAATCAGATCAATGTCCTCACCAGCGAGATCTTCCGCGGCCTGGGCAACCTGAATGTCCTGAAGTTGACGCGCAATAACCTCAACTTCATCGGCGACACGGTCTTTGCAGAGCTCTGGAGTCTGAGTGAACTGGAATTGGATGATAATCGGATTGAGGTGAGTGTGGGTTCAGCCACCACATAGAGAGGACATTCGTAGGCAACAATCTAGCCTACAGAAACCCATTTGTAATGCACTTTCGGTGGGAGTTTGTAGCAAAAGTGTGACATACTTTTTGGGCAAACTAGAGCGAGATATTGAGATAGAGATGCAGATATTGAGGATAGCGATTGAAGAAGGGATTGTTTTCTATGGCAGACAAGGAACTACTCTATTCAGAAAGCCCCTGAGTAGAGAGCCTCTTCGATCAGTGATCGTTTGCATACTTTTTGGGCAAATTAAAGCGAGATATTTAGATAGATATTGAGGATAGCGATTGAAGAAGGGAGTGTTTTCTATGACACTCAAGGAACTTCTCCATTCAGAAAGCCCACGAGTGAAGCCTGATCGATCAGTGATCATTTGAGGCTATAAAAAAGTGCTGCCTACTTTTTGGCTCAGCAGAAAATGAACCAGAAATAGATCAAAGATGGAAGTTTGGATTATTGGGGGTGCTTTCTTCTAGGTTTAGTTTACTTTTACGGGCATCCTTAATCACGATTGCCTCTGCGTTGATTCTAGAACAAATTTCACATAGATTTGGATTTCAGTGGCGTTTTATTTACGAGCAAAATGCAATCTACCAGGGCAAACGAAACTTCTCAATCAAGTCTAATGCAAGTGGATTAAAGAGATTTGTCTGGCGATGCCGCCCACGCCCACGCCCCCAGCGGCCCCCAATGGCCCCCCCACTATTCGGTCAGCATTTGGACCAGCAGCTGACTTAAGAGGTCATAAATTGTCGAGTGGCCATAAGAAACAGAGAGGAGGAGAGGGAGAGGGAGAGAGCGGGAGAAGTGGAAGTGGGATGGAGGGTCTTGAGCTATAAATGGCATATCCTTGGGGCACGCACACACAGGCACACACGGACACTGCGAGGAGAACAACTTTATGCTGGTGTCATAAATTCAATTCGAATGTCTATTCTTGTGGTGATTTAAGTGGTCACTCAGCATTGGTTGACCCGTCGTCCGAGGCGAAAATATGATAAATAGATTGGTGAATTATGTTTTCTTCCTCTTCTCTTTTTTTTTTGGGGGGGGGGGGGGGGGGCGGCCGAGTCCTTTGCTTAATTCGCACATTTCCCCTTGGGGCAGACCACACGCTGACAATCGCCTTTCGGCAAAGGCAACGGCAAAGGCAACGACGTTGCTGTGGCAAACAAATGTGGCAGTGCCGCAAGTTAATCTACTTACAAAATATTGAATAACAAATCATGGGAATAATGGATTTATGGGCACTCCTTTCCATCCAGCCATCTGATATGCAGGGACCGGGACCGGGGACCGGGACCCTTCTGCTGCAAAGCGAAGCTATAAAAATGGCCACCATTCGGTGTCCCAGTGTGTGTCCCAGTGTGTGTCCCTGTGTGTCCCTGTGTGTCCCTGTGTGTGTGTCTGGTAAATAGAAAAATGTCGCTTAACACTCGAAGCGAAAGGACATGAAGCATACAAAGTTATGTAAGCGGAGGCAAAAGGCACCGGTCTGTGTATGAGCGTAAATCCTAAATATCCATATCCATATCCATATCCATATCCTGGGCCAACATTGTTGGACACCCGCTGGAGCGCCGCATCGTCCTGCTTCGTGTGCTTCGTGTGCCTCGTGCTTCATTTTTCCCATTTTACAAAGTGCTCGCATATCATGTCACACTCAGGCGACTCGCATATGTGTCACAGGACACACACAGACACACACACAGGACACCGAGGCCAGTAGGTTACAGGACTCTCAAGTGCGACGGGGACAGCGTCGCTCAAGTGGGGTTCGCTCTGGTTCTCCGACTGGATCCATCTTCTTTGCCGCATTGTCATAGCCATAATGATTGGGCTTGTTATCGCCTACGTTGCGCATTGTTTCCTGCCCCAGGATTTGCTTACTCGGGCAGCCCGAAAAAAAAAAACCCCCAATCTGTCCCGTGTCCTCCGTGTCCTCCGTGTCCCGCCTGTCCTTTGTGTGTGCTGTGCTGTGTGGCATTGTCGCCTTCAATAAAAGCAAATTGTGTTGCATGTTTTGCTTGGGTTCCCGTTGCCGTTCGTTGGCTCCTCTTCAGCTTTCGTTTTTTTTTTGCTCACTTCATAAATCATTTGCCGTTAAAAGGTTTAGGCTCTGACACCACATAAAAGCAGATCCCTGTGTCAGATAATCAGGCTAAAGAGGATAAGTGAAAGTGCCCAGAACTAAGGCCAAAAGTCTCACAGCAATTAAAAGGCTCCACAGAATAAAGAAAAGCCTCAAGAACCGAAGGAAAAGTTTAAAGACACGCGAAGGGAAAATAAAGTTCAATCAATGCCCGGGAAACCCCCCTGTCCCCCCCCCCTAACAGAGCCTGTTTTTCGTTTCGCTCGTAAATTATATATTTTTTCGTTTTGTCAGGACAATAAATGGGATCCGCTCATCAAACTAACAAAATATCGCCATAAAATATATGTATTTTATATGTCAATCATCTCGACAAACAAACACGAGAAAAACAGCGGTGGGTGGTGGTTGGTGGGGGGAGGGAGGGGGCGTTCTGTTACATGTTTTTCGGTTATTTTTCACATGTTTTCCTCCTTGGACTCGTCATATAATATGCATAATTTTTCCATTTCCCCTCCCCCTCCCCCTCCCCCTGGCAACAGCCAACGACAAAGCATATTGAATATTAAATAATGTGAGAGCATGGTGAGAGGGGGGGTGGGCTGGGGTGGGGAGAGGTGGTTTCACTTTCATTCAAAACAAAAACAAAAAAAAGAATAAAATAAAAGAAAAAAAACACACACACTTTTTTCCGTATAATAAAATCCAAGACAAACGAATTGGGGCACAACAAAAACCAGTCCAAAATGGAGCAGGTGGAACGACATTTAGATACCCTGTATAATGGATCGTCGCATGCCGCCCAAAAGTAGGCCCCAAAAAAAGTGGAAAGCCAGGTGTTCCGGCCATAATATTGATACGATCAGTATTTATTAGGTTTTATTTGAGTGATTTTAAAGTATATCCCCCCGAGTACCCTCTTGGAATGAACGGGAGAGCAACCACATATGTACGTGCGCATACATTTATGTGTGTGACTGTACATACAAATAAATAAATACGCAAACAAAAACAATGGAAGACAATGAAAAGCGAACAATTCTCCCCCCCCTTCCCCTCTGTGTGTGTGTGTGGATGGAAAACAATGAAAATAATATGCAAAAATGCGGAAAAATGTTAGCCAAAAATAAATATAGATATGTATATTTTTGTCAGTTTTTATATGCTCCCAGAGCCCGAAGCACACATATAATATGTGTATAACCTGCAGTTAAAATTAAACACGAACCAGAAAAACTAATCTTGAGATGCCTTTTTTTTTCCATTTTCCAGCGTATCTCCGAGCGTGCTCTGGACGGCTTGAATACATTGAAAACTTTGAATTTGAGAAATAATTTGCTTAAGAAAATCGACAATGGTCTGCTGCGCGGCACCCCAGCGCTGCTCTCCATCAATGTGCAGGCAAACAAATTGGAAACGCTGACATTCTACACGTTCCAGCCAATTATGGACAATTTGGTTAACAGCACCAGTGAGCTGTTGGTGTCAGGTAAGGACGTGTCCCCACCCCTAACCCCCTCCCCACCATCTGTTTCCATTGCTTGAAACTTTTGACAGCTCATCGGGGGGAAAAATGGTATTGGGGGCTGACAAATGCACAAATGGGAGGGTGAGAGAGAGGGGACCAGGACCAGGACAGGACAGAACAGAACAGCAATGTGCAATGTCCAAAAAAAAAAACACAAAAAAAACCCCTCTCTCTCTCTTGTTATAATTACACATACGCCAAGTTGGCCTGGGGGCCCCTGTTCCGTTTAGAGTTTATATGCCACACAGTCATAAAGTTTTATGCCACTTGTGTGGGGCATGGGGGGGGGGGGGGGGCAATCACTTTGTATGTCTGTGCCTCAGTCTGTGGGCTTCATTAAGGAAATGTCGTATTCGCCCATTGCTCAAGTGTGCGCTTCCGCTGACACTTATGGCCATTGCCAGTGTCCCACTGTCCCATGTCCTGTCCGTGTGTTGGCATTTCCTGCCTCACACACACACGCACACACACACAGACACACACACACTAAATTAGTCATTAAAGTGCAATTTTGAAGCACTGCCGCACAGAGGCAAAGCCTCATAACAATAAAATATCTGTCGTTGGTTGCCATGGCTGCCATGGCCTGTCTGCCGGCTAATAGCAGCGGCCTGGCTATTAGCGTGTTGATTAGCCTCAATTAAAGGTGAAATGAAAATGAAATATCAAGTGCACGAACAAAGCCCGCCCGTCTGAAGCGCCGTCTGAATACAAATGGCAGTTCATTTTTGCGGCAAATACAAAACTCATTTCTAATAATTCTAATTTCCAACAAGTTGCAAGGCCTTGAAAAGAGGTAAAAGAGGGGGGCAAAGAGTGTGCTGCCAATGCAATTAGACTTTTGGCGCAGGCAATCAACAGAGCAGCCCACCACATCGACAAAGGGCATGGAATACATTTAAATATTTAACAACAGCCTTCAAAAAATCACACAGTTCTCTTTTCTCTCTCACACACACACACACACACACACACACACATAACTTAATTATCACTCACACACACACACACACAGACACACATGCCACATACAGTGGCATTTTGGCTAATGGTTTGCCATTAGCATGACTCATTTGCAAGCCAAAAAAAAAAACCGAAAAAAATAGAGGAGAAATCAGAGAGAATGGAGGCGGAGGCGGAGAGTGGAGAGTGGCAGAGTGTCGGCATGGCTGAAGCGCAAACAAACACTTTGTATTTGTCTATGTGTGTGTGTGTGTGTGTGTGTGCTGGCAAACTGTAATTGCATTTGCAGACACACTCACACACTCACACACTGGCAACGAAAAATGGTTGAAAGGCAGACACATTCCGTAAATTGGCTACAAAATGACTTCAAAATTGCTTTAAACTACAACAAAATCCCCCCCCTCACCCCCTCACCACCCCCCTCACCCCTTCACTCCTTACCCTGAAAAAAGGAAGAACTTTTTTAATTCATATATGCAGTGATTATAGCCAGGAAACGCACTCACACACTCACACACACACCCATTCACTCTCTGAATGCTGACTGCTGAATGGTGAATGGTTCATTAGAGCTCCAAAGTTGTGGAGCCAAACATTTACATATCATGCAAGGCGGATGCCCCCTCCCCCCCCCCCCCCCCCAGCCACTGATTCAATTTGATCAACTTTCTGCCACTTTTTGGGGCTCCAAAAAAAAACAACAAGAAAAATACGGGAAGGACTTTGTAATGAGGCAAAAGCTCTTTCGATACTTCAAACGGAATCTGCACGCCATAAAAATGTTGCTCAATTTAGCGAGTGACAACATTTGGCCCTGCCCTTGCCCCTGCCCTTGCCCCTGCCCCTGCGTGGCAACAAAATGTCGTAGGACATGTGAGAAATGTCCTGCGATGGCGCGCAGCAGACGTTTGAGGCTGTCGGCTGAAGATAAAGTTGAATGTGGCAGAGTGGCCAAGTGGCCAAGTGGCAGACATAAAACGTGCCACATCAGAGGGAGTCGCTGGAGCAGCAGCAGCAGCAGCCCGAATGACAAGCGCATTCCCTGGGTGAAAGTATTTGCTTCTTCAACTAATCGATCAGCCGAAGGAGGGACAGGGACAGGGACGGGACGACGCCTGTGCTGCTGCTGCTGCCACCTGCCACACGAACGGAGCAGGATGCCAAAATGTTTGCGAAGCAAAAGTGAAGCTGGCAGAGAGCTGTGGGATTTGTTTTGGACAAATGATCAGAAGAGGCAGGGCGGCATGAACTCGTAGCGAAATTGCAGCACATGCATCACAGAGCTGCAACGGTTGCAGCAGTGGCACGTCGCCCGACCTGAGGTCGAGATAGTTGACTCCTCATTTCGCGCCGTGATTTGTGAGTGCCACACGGACCACACCGGCGAATCCTCGGACGTAATTGCCATTGACAGGCGGCAGGACAGGTGGAAAATCCTCTGGCATTGCCATTGCCATTGCCATTGCAGCAAATCGAAGGAAAGACAGTCGGGGCATGCCACCTGCTTTGCATTCAAATGTTGTGTTCTCGGTGGAGCCACTTGCCCCTAAACAATACCCCAGTTGGTCATTTCATGACCCTTTTGTGTCACGACCACACCCACATGACCCCCTTGCCCCCCCCACTCCCTTGTTGCAGGCTGCAGTTGCAGGTTGCACCTTTTGGCCATGTATTTTGTGGAAAAATTTATAGGCATGCCCCGGTGCTGTGGCATTTGTTTCAATTCCAAAAGCCTCCCCCTAAAAAGGGGGCCGCCTTCTATATCCTTGTTTATTTGTATGCGAATCACGTTTTGTTTGTGTCGTCGCGCCTGCGGTGTCCTGTCCAGTAGCCACCGACCGCCCGCCCCCTGGTCAGTGCCCCCCCCCCCCCCCCCCCCCCCTTTTCAAATGCCAGCGCTTTAAAGGGCAATACACGAGTATTTTTCACATACGGCCACCATGGCAGCAATTGGTAATAAATGCTGGGCTCCCTCTTCCCCTTCCACCTCCCCAAATCCCGCCCAAGGGCCGCCGTGTCCCCATGTCCGTGGCTCTCAATTGGTTCGTTATGTGCCCGCCGTAGCCGTAGCCGTAGCCGTGGCCGTGGCCCCAGTCGTTAGATGGAATTGAATGGTTATTGTTTCGAAATATAAATAGGATTTCTAACAGATTTTTTGTTGGGTCGCCTTCGTTTTTTTTTCCACCGGGTAGGGGCTGCTGCAGGACACTGCCACTGACAGCTGGCAACTGCAATTTGATTATTGGGATTGTGCCCCATTCTTCCCCATTCTGCTTCGGTCTCTGTTTCGGTTAGCGGCACTTAATAGAGAGCAGGGACATGGTCAAGGGTTCATAAATATCCATTGAGAGAGAGAGAGAACGTGGATTGTATAGAGAGTTCCAACTCTGAACCGCTGATCCTCTGATGTGAGACCCAATACACGGACAGATGCCTTTAAAGTCCCCTGAAGTGCGGACATGTGTGTTAGGATGCAGGATGCATGCAACAATGACCTCCGGCCACATTAATTGCCCATCAAGGCAGCAAATTAAACTTTCAACTTTGAAAGCAGCCCGACAACTCATTTGTAATGCAATGTCAGCAGCCTTGTAAACACACACACACAGAGAGAAAGAGACACCCAGAGAGGGGTGGAGGGGGGCAGGCAGGGGCTTCTGCAACAATAAACAGGTATTAGGACAGGCCGTAGGGCGGAGGGGGCTTGGGTGGGAAAAAGGATACAGAGATGGAGGCTGTGGAAGCCGGAAAGCGAGAATTTATTGAAACGCATAAAAGGCGTTTGCGCCTCATTGGCAGAAAATGATGTTTGGCCATAAACTGGACAAATGAGCGTGTGGCACGCACCCAAAATTGACTTTCAATAGTCGAATGTCAGCAGGACAGCAGCGGCTAGCAGTTGTTCCATGTCCAGGCCAGCAGGCGGCAAATCCCGATGATTGTTTGTAATAAATCTATGGCTCAAACAGTGTGTGTGTTTGTGCGTGTAACATGTGTCCAAGCAGAGTAATAAGTGCGGGGGAATCCCCCCGATTTGACAGGCAGTCTCTCCCCCTCCCCCTCTCTCTGGAGTGAATGTGGATCTAGGGGATACTTTCGTAGTCGCACTCCTGCTTATTGGTTGTATATTCATGCATAAGTACGAGTTGTAATTCATTCCATTTCGATACGTTTCATTGCGTTTCATTTGCAATTTGCTGCGGCGGCTGCTGCTGCTTCTGCTGCTGGAACGCCACTGCATAAATCACTCACTTTTCCTGCTGCTGCTGCCCTGCCCCAAAAAGTATGCTAAGCTGTGGCTCTGGCTGCGGAGTAGCGCAGGGTCGGGCAGCGGGGGAGAGGGGGGACCAATAAATATTTTAGAATTCAATTTCCGTTTTTGCGAATGTCAACCACCGCGTTTCCTTAGCTACTGTCCCTGCCCCTGGACTCGTGTCTGTCTCTGGCTAAGACTCTGTTTCTGCCTCAGTTGTTGCCTCAGTTCTTGCCCCATTCTCTGGCACAGTGTCTGGGAAGTTCTCTCAATCTCTGGTATCTCTCCTTCTATGGGACTGTGGGACTATGAACTTCAATTAGAAATCATTTTGTCGGCTATCATTCACCTGGGACATCAATCTCTGAGATATCATTCTTTGGGGCATTATTTATTTTTTTATTTAATGCTAAACTTGTTATTAATTATATTTATATTATTTATATATATTTTTTTTTTTTATGGTAATTATTTTTTGTTACAATTAAAAAATGTAATAAATTATAATAAAAAAAATTCATGTTATTTTCTATTTTAATTTTCTTATATTTTCCCAATATTTATTTTTCTTTTTATTTATATATTTATTATTATTATTTTTTAAATGATTTTTTTCACATTATTATTATTATTTTTAAGGTGATCGCAAAAATTCCTTTATCTAAATTTTATAATTTTTATTTTTATTTATATATTTACATTACATTATTATTATTATTATTTTTAAAGTATTCTCAAGAAT